ACTCACACATATTGGACATCTTAGAACAGCTAACAAAGCAAGCGTAAACTCGGCCATGCAGCATACTTCCTAATACCCATCCTACAAAAGGCTGAATGCCCTGAAAGCCCAATAAACGAGTTGAAAGGCTGCAGGAGGGAGGCACAGACTGGGCCTTATCACACACGGACAAGGCAAAGGACTGCTCTTCGGCAAGGGCTTTACCCAGCCTGGGAGAAGGTGTAAGCTTACTCGCGTATGACACTATTACATCAAACACTTTGGCAAATCACAGGAACTCAGAACAAGACAAGATGGACAACAAACACACTTTACAAACTGAGTTGCATGGCTCCTGAGACCGGCCAGAAGGGTGCAACCAGCAGCACATATTTAATTTTACTGTTTCTGACAACAGATCCAAGATAAACAAGCACACAATTATACGGGTGGAAATGTTCTACAGGAGGAATATGCCTTTCACTGACAGTCACTGAATGATTTTAAACCTCTGACATAATGGTTCACGGAAAATACATGGCTAGATGTTCTCAGGCTGTTTTTTTAAATTGGCTGTATTTTGGGTTATCTTTCAGCCTATAGAGAATTCAGACAGTACACCCAATTCTCTTCGCTTACATACATGCCTTCGCTTTAACGAACTTCACTCAGCTGCTGCCGTGTATCACTGTGAGCCTCCTCTGTCACATCACAATCACTTTAATGAGAAAGCAATAGCTCTAGGACTACATGTCTGACAAGCAGATCCTTAAAATATTTTTCATTATTTCGTTCAAGACACTGAAAGGACACAAGGAATTCGCACAGTATGAAACCTGAAAAACTCAACTGTAGCATACATGGCGGTCATCTGAAAGATGCGGTTGCTCATGGAAAGAAAAATAAGATAAAAGCCATGCTAAAAGACAAAAGGGCATGATTCATTATGTGGTTACGTAAGGCAGCAGTGCCATAACACTGTTTAAGTCATCTTGCAGTGGCATGACACTGGTGTAAGAAGGGATGAAACAAACCCTGTGTTTGCATTTTAAATGGATCCCCACGAACCAAACAGCAGGAAGAGCTATGGCTCCAAAGAACTCCCCACAAGGTCCCTGCAAATGAAATTGTGAGGGTGGGTTCGACTTGGTCACACAATCCCCTTCAACTTTGGTGGGAAACTGGCTACAAAAAAAAATAATTTCAAATGTGGTACTCTTCTATGATACGAAGCCGCATATTCCAGCCTGTGTGCAGAGGAGGCTCGCACTGCTCAGGGCGGGGCGAGCAGCGGCGGCATGGCGGGCTGTGGGGAGGACCAAAGTCGCTTCCCTTCCCTGCCCTCCAGGACTTTTAACGCAATTCTACAACAAATGTAGATAATTATATATTTATTTTAACATAACATCTTTTTTTTTTTGCTTAGCTGAGCTGCTGCCTTGTCCCCAAGGAGCCTTTATCATTACATTAAAGATCTTATTTTTGCTCGGACAGATGCCGCAAACTATCTATAAACTCTGGCAGCCAACTACAGATTTCTGTTCTCTGCAGATTTATTATACATCACTGATCCCCTCATCAAGCATAGTCATCTCGTTCTTGAGTACAGTCACTGGATCAGAAGCGAACCACCCTGCAGACTACCTTTGACGTCAGATACCTGAATCTCCATCCTGGCAGACTGCTAGGGAGGAAGAGGCAAAGCCAAAGCCAGAGCTCAACAAATCAGCAAACTGGATCCACAAATATTCTCTATCTGCCAACAACTGTAATGGATTGTGGCTAGGACATGTTTTCTACATATGCAGGATGCTCAGAATCAACTAAGTCAGTTCTGTTGCTGCACAGCCCAAACCTAAAAAATATACCACCAGGAAGAAAACACAAGAATTCACCACAGTCGCTAAATGTAAAAGGAACTGTGATTTAACATTGCATTTTAGTGCAAGACACATGGAAATGGGACACCTGGTGTGCTAGCCCTAATGTGCTTTCCTATGTGAGTGTGGGAAAGCACTTAGCGGAGCCTCCCTTTATCCTCCCAGAAGCCAAATGTCTTCTTTACCTATTTACCAGGGGGTAAATGCCGCGGACTTCATGGCCTCTTTACCAGGCGCAGCGTTTTGGAAGTGTTTCAGGCTAAAAGGCGCGATCAGGTGCAAGGCACAGACAGGAGCACGAGGTGAGGAACGGGCATGGCACGGTAGTAGCGTGCTTTTCAAACTGTTTACTAAATGGATCTACAACCTTCAGCAATGCAATCTGCAGGAAATGGTTCTGCACAGACAGAAGCATGACCGAAGGGCTAGGGTCGCAATAAAACTGAAAGCAAGCGATCACGACATAGACCACAATATTCTCTCTGCCTATTACATTGCACCATCAATGCTAATTTCATTTCTCTCTGGAAATGGTGCAACTATCCGTTACAGTTATCTACAATTTAAGTACATTTCTATTTTTCCCTATATTCTTGCTTCAGGAATTTGACAGTGTTTTGTGGGGCTTTTGCTCCTGATCAATCCCATGTTGCCATCTGTCTGCTCCTGACAAATCCCATCAGGAACAGGTCCCTGTAAGGGCTTGGAAACCCTCAGGATGTGTAGACGGATGTCATTTATTTGAGCTGATCTGTTCTCCGTACTCCCTGTTGGCATCCCTTGAACAGGTGAGTGTTCACCCGGTATAAATCAGCTGAGCTCTCTTGGGACTCATTTACATCAACCGAGAACCCAGCCCAAAATATGGAACTAATTTCCCACGTCTCAGATTGTCAGGCTGTATCCCTTGCTGAAAGGACCATTATCAGCAACAGAAGTGCTAGAAACACTTAAAAAACGGTGCTGGAACTGCAATTCTGGCAACCTTTTTGCATAGCAAGTGAAGCAGGGGCAGATGCTGCTTGCTGGCCCTTGTCCATTCCCTGGGCACATCGGCAGAGACATGAGCTGGGCTTCGCCTGCCAGGACAGTTTCTCACAATTATTGTAAACGACAAAACAACCGAACCAGAAGGCACCAGGTGATAAACCCACAATTATTGAGAACCTGTGTGGAAACTTTCTTTAGAAAAGTAGATCAACATTAAATGTATGCCCTTCTTTGTGAAGAGTATTTAAAAATATGAATTTGGGACATAACAACATGGCAAAAGTCTGTGTAAGACCTTGCCAAAACCATCAGGTTCACGAAAAATAAAAGCACAAACATAAGAAAATGTAGCTGCCTAATAAAGAAAGAAGAATAACCATTGTTACTAGTGGCAAAACAGAGGGATGTCACCAGTTAATTTCGAAATGGCATAAACTATTATTTTCACAGATGCTAAAGGATTCATGGAAGACACTGTTCATGGTAACGTACGAGACCACATGAAGAACTATCCCTAATCAATGCAAATACTTAAACTGCAACCAAAGTGAACCTCCAAGCTCTGCCTAAGATGCCTAGATACCTATCAAACTAACAGCGGGACTTAATCAAAATAAGGGTTATATTCTGCCATTCCTCCTCACATCGAGGGGTATTAGAAGTGGTACTTCATTCTCTCAGTGGTCCCTTTGACTTCAGGCTTACGGCTCACAGTGCTCCACTACAGGTTAACAGCAGCTGAATCTGTCCCCATCTCATTTTCTGCATTGCACCTTTGCAGAACGTATCTTGCAATGAAAGAACCGACCCACTCAAACCGAGTGCACCTGTTGTACGTGATGACAGAATTTTGCTTTATGTACGAAGCTCTCTATCCCACCTCGAGATGCGACTCCAACGATACAGCTGAGCCTGCAGCAGCCTGCGCGAGGCAGGGAGTGGGCAGCCGGGAAGGAGCGCAGCTGGGGATGCGAATGTAAATGAAAACACGCGGTGCGGTCAAGGGTAGATTTGCAGCGCAAATGTAAATGGCACCGCGCGGTCACAGGACTGCAACTACAGGGGATTAAGGGGGCTTCGCTCGATCTGGCTGTGTGGCTACAGCCCTGCAAACAGATCTGGGGATTAACCGCGCTGAGCACATAGCCAGAGCAAAAAGAAGAGCGGAGTTCGATGCCACTCACTGAAATGTCACTTTGTCCCAAAGCATAGCCAGTTCTAATTTGCTTTTGCTCTGGCAGATACAAGAGGAAAAATATGCAAAGCTGCCCCTTGTCGCAGCTGTCAGGATTGCAAAACAAATGAGAGATTTGAATAAGTTTACTTAATTGTTATCAGTATTAAAGGCACCTTAAGGGAATCACTCACAGAAGAGAATAATTTATAGTAGATAATAAGTTACATTTTCCTCTATTTTCCTCTTTGGGAAAAATCTATTAAAGTTTTATAATTAAAACTCCCGAACATAGTTCAACTAAATGTTGTTAATCGAAAAATGGTCTATTTTTTAAAATGTCCTTTTTCTTTTTTTTTTTCCATAAAAACACTCTTTGCTCTCTTAAGAAATGCCACTGAAAATTATTAACTGACATTCTTCATCAAAACTGATAAATAAAACATTTCTTTATTCACTCACCAACTTGAAGACATAAGATTTTGGCACCTAATTCCGTTTCCATTTGAAAATACTGGCCAAACAAACAAAAAAAAAAGAATTTCTCTAATCCCTTTTAATAACAGTGATAGAGATTATATGGGAAGATAAAAAACGTGTTCAGTCATGTGTGTGATTCACAAAGTTGTCCCTTTTCCTCTGTACCCCGCACTGATTAGCCCGATCAGTCCACAGCGACCAAGAGAGAACATCCTTTCTGTCTCGGGTTTTGGTTATGGTTTTTTTTATTTTTATATCACGCTTCGGGATTATTAGTTTGCACCACAGGCACTGCACTTTGCTTCCGTACATCCATACGTATTCATAATGGAAATACAGTAATAAACTAAGAACAGACTGTCATCACTGTACTGAATTTGCTGTCAAATCTCATGTCTACAGGTTACAAGCAGATTCCTTGGAACAGTAAATCATTCATTTACTAAGTTCTTACCGTAGTTTCAGTGAGAACAAAATAAAAAATAAAGTTTACTTACTGATGTATATAGGTATCCTTCACTGTTCATTGCCAGATACAATTTTGTTTGAACCCCCTGAATCGCCACCACTCGTAAACCCACAGGTATGAGGTTAAACAAAGCTAGGAGAGAAAGGAGATGCAGAGCAAAATTAATCCTTCCGAGCGTGCAGATTAGATAGAGAACTAAGCCATAATTACCAGAACCAAATTAAAAATGCCCATCTATGCGCATATTAATTTCTGTGGCTGCTATAGAACAATACTGCTAGTATCGTGGTCCTCTACAGCGATGTCCACCAATAGCTCAGAAATTATCTACAGAGGGTAGCAATGCATCTCCCCCATTCTGAAGATGGTGAATTGGAGATGCTGAGAGCTAAAATGACTTACCTGCCTCATGAGCAGAATCCAGGGTCTGCTGAGTTGAACAGATTTAATTTGTTTCTTTTTTTTTTTTGCTGACAATAAGTGCAAAAAAAAATCAAAAAATCCAAAACCAAACAAAAAGGGTAGTTTTTTTTTGCAAATTCAGATCAAATGCAATAAACATTTTTGACGAAAAGCAAGGAACAAAATGAAATTCAGGGAAGTTAAAAACCTTCATTAACATCTCAAAATGTTTCCACTCAAAACTCATTGAGGTTTTTTTTCTCTTTGTGAGAGGAGAATGGGTTTGAAAAAACAGTTAAATAACTTCGAAATGAAATGACAGCGTATTCTTCAGATCAAGCCCTAAATCTGTGCTTTCAAAGTTGAGCTGCTTCAAACGTTCTGCTCGTGTTTAAGCTTGTATACATGCTAATAGTGGCAGTATTTATAAGCAGAAAAATATCTCTTCAAAAAATGAAGATTCCGGTTTGTCAAGTGGCAAATTTTTTTTTTTTTTAAAAAGCAAAGCTCTGCCATAGCTTCAATTCATAGCTACGTTAAAATTGAACACAAGTAACAACAAGTTGAATACAATACTCTCTGTTCAATACATAGGATTAAAAATAAAGGGGAGTTAAGAAAATTTTCAAGAACTGTTACCATAACCCAAAGCATCTCCTTCCCGTCTGTCGTGTAAATGCAGAGACAGATGAAGTAATGCCAAACTGGCTCTTATTTCCAATGGTTTATTAGTTGGCTAGAAAACGCTGGTCTGCTTCAGACTGAAATTTGGTATTTATGGTCACTGTCTGAAGCCAGTTTAAAACTGCATTATGAATTTGAAATATTTTTATTATTTTCAAAAGTATAAGCTAAGAATTATGACCCGTTATAAATTTCTTTTTCAGCCTGACAGCCCCAAATGGTCATATGTAATTAAAAGAAAATTTGTAGCTTGCAAGCATTTAATACAGATCCTAAATTTGCAGTGGGGGGGGTTGTCAAGAGCATATCAAAAAAGGAAAGAGCAAATGTATGCCTGTCCTATTTCAATGAAGACACAGTCAGAAGTTAATGTTGTGCACTGGGGACAAAGGACTAGATCCTGGTGAAAACAGAGCCTGTTCCAGCAGGCAGCTGGACCTCCAGCTCCCCGTGTTGTCCTGGGTTAACCTGAGCATCTCAGCCCCTGGTTGAAGGGGGGCAATGGGCTCTGAGGGGACAGCAGCCGAGGGACCCGCTCCGGGCTGGGCTGAGCCTGCCCACTGCCAGCTACGGGGGCTCTGCTCTCAGGCTGGGGCACCGTTGAGCATTGAGTTTCCTACAGTGGTTGAATACAGCAGAGAAGGTGGAAACAGCCAGAACTAACAGATAAATGTAGGAGATCGTAAAATCATACCTACATCTTTCTTTCTCTCTCGTACACACGAGCGTACGTGCAGACACAAACACACACACGCATGCAGCCCCTTCCTCACGCTTGCCTGCAAGCAGAAAATCAACAGAAATGCCTTTCTCTTCACTAAAACAAAATCCTCTAGTTCTGTGCAGTTTTTAGCAAACAAAACTTAGATTTTCATTACGGGAAATGCTTAGGGAAATGGATTTCTCATTCATTCTATCAAATGCTTCAATTTATTTGTGGGAGAAAGTATTCCCTGATGCTGTAAATATTCCCTTGGAGAGCCCTCTTTTGCAGCTCAATCCCCAAAAGCAGCATCTGATCTCTGTGTAAGCAGGAGACCCCAATTTAAAGCTCAGTATCCAGGTAGAACCTGGAGGTCTCTTTGAAAGGCACTTTCTTGATGGCATATTTATGAGTAGGGCAAGCATTTGGGTGTTTTCAGCACGAGGGTGTGACTACGGGCTCCACTGTAAATTGTGCTACGAACCCTTCAGCAGACCAGCTGAGGACAGGGCAAAGCCTGGGACGGTGGAGAAGAAACAGCCCCCAGCCACAAGCCACAGAGATAGGTTTTAGTGAGCGATTCCTGGCTGTGCTGTGCTTGGCAAAGTGAGCAGAGATAGGAGGCTGAGCGACTCACGCCAGGGGAGGGCTGGGGAACCCATTGCGAAGGGTGCTCAGCTGCTTCCCTCGGCAGCTGAACATGTTTTCCTGCCATGAACTTACATGCTTTATTTTGAGGCAAGACGAGGGCTGGGCACGCTCAGAAGCTGGTTTAGACATCGGTGGGATTAGCAGCTGCCGTGGCGCAGACCATCGGAAGTTGCAAAAGGGCTGTGGGGGAGTGATGCTGGCTCTGCTGCCGACTGCTGCTGCCGAAGGGGAGAGGGACCGGCTGTCGGAGGGTGCACAGTCAGTCCATCTGTCCTACACCGGCAGAGCCAGACACACAGTCAGGCTGCCCCGGTTGCCGCCTCCAAGGCGAGGGGCCATGGGCGCTGCACCAAAAAAGGGGACTGTCCCCTTTAGCAGAAGTTGTTGCTCCCGTCATCCTTGCACAGCAGCAAGCCCAAGAGCCACACATTGCCCTTCTCTGCAAGCCCCCAACGCTACGGAGCACGGCTTTGAGATGCCATCGCATTTCTAGAGGCTGACCCTCATGTGGGCAGATACGGCACTAAGAGTGAAAAAAAAGCCACAGGAAAATACATCGTTTGCTACTACAATCAGTTTGTGTCAGCGTAAGATAATGCAAAGTTATTTGCATCCTAGCCTTTCCCTATTACATTTGCGCTGTTTAAAATAAGGCTATAATATCCATCGTAATGAAAAACTTTGCGATGCCTAAGGGAGAGATGATCTTTGCTGTGGCCCTTGTGCAATAGAAGCTGACAGAGAATTAGAGCTGCAAAATAAGCAGCAGTGGGCCCCAGCTGGATTTATGAACGTATACATTACTGCGAGATCTGTGCCATCCTTGGCTTGGCCACCTGCACCTTCGCACGCTTGCTGCAGGATATCATTTCCTATATTTCCTTCTTTTATCAGTCTTGAAATCTTATCGTCTTGCCAAAACTGGGGAATAAATTTTGCCTTGATTTAAAACCTTGCCCTGTTTAACATATTTAATGAGGCAAAACCTGTTTCTGAGCCAGGAAAGCCTTTCCACGAGGCACTTCCTCAAATTGCACGGACTCTTGGCTAAAATCGAGGTCTGGCGACTGCTACGGCTCCTCAAACCCACGTTTCACTGCCTGCCTAAATGGTGCCCCAAAATCTCAGCTTTCTTTTAAGCTCCCGTGGATGTGACCTTATGTTTGTGAACCCTGCGTGCAGCAGTGGGTCTGCAGAGCTTGAAATGATCGCTCCCAAGTCAGGAGCTGATGGGGACCTTCAGGCAAACTTCTCCTTCAGCTCTAGGTGGCAAACGATGGAGAGGGTGGACTCCCGGGCCCAGGCTGCTGTCAGGAGCACAAAAGAGCAGCTGGCTATTGGGGGCTGCAAGCTTTCCCCGTCTCTGCTGTAAACAGGAAAAAAAAATCGAAATTTAAAGGCTGACCAATGCTCTGGAGACAAGGGGGACTATGGCTACGGTTTGCTCTAAAAGAACGCAGTTGCAGAGTCCTAGCGCTGTGCAACTGCTCTGCTGGCCACAGCTGCATTTGAGGACGTTCGTCGTCTTATTATTATTAAGGGGAATTATTATTATCGCACTGCACCGCAAAGTAAATGGTCTTAGAGCAAACGCTCAGTGAAGGTGGCAAAAAGGGACAGCGGTGACACCCCTCAGGGGTGCAAAGGAGAGCAGAATGGAGCGGAAAAGGGGTCCCCCCACGTTTGGAGGGGGCTGCAAGTCCTGTGGGTTTTCTGCAGTGCATGAATATGGGCTAAATGACAGATGTCTCTGCAAATATTGGAAGATATGATTTTAGAAGGCCTGATCCACTTAATATTCACGTGAGCAAGACTTTGGGAGAACTCCATTATGTGGACTCTGATCCACAGCATAAATCAGTCTGTCTTATTAGCTCCACTAAAAATAGTAATTAAAATAAATTCAGGACTCCGGGACATTCAGGTCTATACACTTACCTCACGTACAAGAGGAATATATACAAAAGCGTGTGGGTTTTTTAAATGATAAGACCGTCCTCTGCTCTGGACACTTAGATACTGCAGCTAAGTTGCAACCATTTCTGGGATAATTTCATTATATTTAAGTATCCAGCATTTTGGAAGGCTGGTATCCAGCAACAAGGAGTTTTTATGATTTGCTTTGTAATCTATCAGGTTATGGTAAATTTAAGGACACAACGAAAACAAAGATACCCTAGAAACGGACACATTTGTATGAATGTCAAAAGGGCAGATTTCCATAAATTTTATCTTCTTTTGAATCTCAGAATCCCTATTAGAGGAATTGGAAGAAAAATATTTGAATGAAATGATCACTTCAAAAAATAGATGGAATTTCAGATATTTTATCTGGTACTTTAAAAGTTTATAACAATATCATGCTTTGATGTAAAAAGATTTACCTATTTCTTCCTCTTTTTAAAGATAATTAACAGAATTACCCTGAAATCCTGAATGATTTGTACTGATTTTTAAAATGATAAATATTAGAACATTCACTTGAAAGAAAAGCAATCTTTAAGGTCGATAAGGATCATTTTTGGAGTAGATTTTGTGGCTGCACTGAGGAGAACTCAGTAAGATGGCAGCAGCCGCTCAGCATTGCACTGATCTGGTCTTTGTGCTGCCTTCTACTGGGCGAGGACAGGACCTGGAGCCAGACCTCCGGCTGCCCTACGGATGCTACACCTTCTCCAGGGTGAGGATGGGACCTGGAGCCAGACCTTTGGCTGCCCTAGGGATCCTACACCTTCTTCAGGGCGAGGATGGGACCTGGAGCTAGACCTCTGGATGCCCTACGGATCCTACACCTACTCTGCAGGTGAGGAGGGACCTGGAGCCAGACGTTCAGCTGCCCTATGGATCCTATGCTTGTGCTCGGCCCTTGGGCCAGCACCTTCAGTGGCTGCAGAGGAGACCTCCTCCAGCAGCCTAGCCGATTCCCTTCTGCCACTCAGAAGTTATACAGGGACGCAGAAAGGATTAAAGAGGGTTTGGGAAAAGCATGGGAGCAAGCGATTGGACAAATAAGATGGGACACTTCCTAGTGTGTCTAGTGCTTACTCTGCCATACCCAAGTACCCTGTAAAATGAAATGATGCTTCACTTGCAAACGCTTTTCATATGAAAAGGCACTTAAATCAGTGCTTTTTAATAATTAAAAAGAAACTTCTGCCTGGTGATTTTCTGGTTTGTTGTCTAAGTGGCCTAAAATATCTTCTCAAACTCCATGTTCCTCCTAACTCCTCCTTTCAGATCAGAAACTTAGTTTAAGCTAAACGGTACAACTATGTGAAACGCCTGAATACTTTATTTGCACACAGCAGACCTATGCTCTAGTCATATTTCCCTGTTTTCTGTTAATTCTCAAAGTTGTAAAAAAAAAAAAAAAAAAAGAAGAAAAAAATGAACCAAAAGCATCAAAAGCTTTTTCACAGAAAAGTGAAAATCTGGTTGAAAGCTGAAAGTATAATTGAATTTGAAGGCGTAAAAAAATAGTAATGATAGGGAAATGTGAACTTTAAAATGATGATGAACTCTCATTGTGTGAAATAACATGGCTCTGTTTGAATGAGCCCCTGTTTCAGAGTGGAGATAGCGTTATTCTATTTCAGGCTCCCTGAGTAGGCGAGCAAATTTTCCCTGTTGAAAAAAAAAACACTAATAAAATCCAAAGGACTGCAATGAACTTCTCTAGATTACCATGGAGATAACATTTGCTTTGTTTGTCATATGTGTCATCATTACCTCCTCTAGTTCATTATTTCTATAAGCGATTTTTATTTGCGTTTCACTCAGACCCAGTAAGCCTGAAAGACTTCTGCGCTGTGAGCACAGTGTTAATGCCGCTTCCACTCACTCAGTCATCCCGGGACAACAGTTTTGAAGGGACCTATATGGGAAGAATGAGACACCACAATTCACAAACACACCATTTATTCTCATGTCACTTACTATAACTACTGTCCTCCTCTTTTGTTCCATCAATTGTTCCATCTGCTTGCAACTGCAAGTGGTATCCTTGCCTGCTGTATAGCTTTGTTACTATACCTTTAAGCTGAGGCTCTGTAAAAAAACAATAGTGAGATTAATGTGGGAAATCCTGATGTGCCATTCCAAGCGAGCAAGACGCTAAAAACAAATCTCCAGGTTTCTTCTCCAGGCTGAGATATGAAAAAGACCCAAATCAAAAGCTGGGCAACCAGTTTTGCAACACTTTTCATTTAGGCTGAGATCAAATTTATGTCTCTGAAATCAATTACCAAAGTGGTTAAATGCCACTTTCGATTGCAATGTAGGCAGCGCAGTACAATCTGCTTCCAGTGAATACAAATTCCAACAGGGTGCTGCTTGGCCTCAGGAGCTCAGCGCTATCTTGTTTAAGATTAGAAATGAGTTGGCAAAGAGCGTATTCCGCCTTTGAGAAAGGTGTGAGTTCTTAAATGGAGAGGAAAAAGAGGACTACTATGATAGCACTAATAAGAGCCTTAGTGACAGTTGAGAGCCTAAATATATAGCAGCAAACGTTTAGCACAGGAACTGCTGCAGCTCTAATAAACAAATCCCCATTCCTCACTGCTCCAAAGAGTACGGAGCATCCGAAGTGATAAACTACTCCACGAACATATGGAAAATGGAGGGGAGAACCCTGAAATCCAGCAATGTGTGGAACTGCAAAATAAACATTACCATAAGGGTTGAGGTAATTGCCTCATCAGCCACAAGAAGGAAGATCAAAACAATGCATAGTTTGGATAGATTTCTTTTTTTCATAACGATTCTCAGAGTCACAGTTAGAAAGCGAGATATCTCACATGGTTTCAGACCATTCTAGACCAAAACGTAAACAGCAACAGGATCTGCTGTCAAGTCTGTCATTGAAGATACCTAGGTAATGCACCAGCAGTAATTGCAAAAAAGGTCTACTTCCACTGAATCCCAATGACATCTGCATTGTAGTCACTTCACACAATTATGCTTGTCTCCGGAGGTGATGCATCTCTGCAGCTCACTCCACAACAACTTAATTCAGAGATAAACATACTGTGAAGATACGGTGTGTCATTTCCAACAGCCAACGTCTGGATAAGGCTCCTTGTGTTTGTAACCAAAGACATTAGGGAGCTCTGCTCCTGTACTTCATTTTAGTAGAAGCTTAAGGCAAAAGCTTAGAATAGTTTGCATATTACTTCCTATTAGCAACCATTAATAAGGGTACTGCCAGATGCACAATTCTTATCGACCAACCTTTCTGACAAGAAATTAATCCCACCCCCACTTTGGCTTTTTAGCCCTTCTGCATCCCAAAGCTGTTTGCAAATTGCAAGCGGGGCACCTCTTCTGTGGCTGCTGAGAAAGGCAGACAGGTTAAGTGGTGAACGGCATCAATGTTTCAGCACAGGAAAGCGACAGCAACGTTACCGGAGGGTTTTGCTCCTCCCATGTACAAAACCCCGCTCAGAACAGGGACTGAGTCTTCACGCCTGATCTTTTGCACCTCTGACACAGAGAGCATCGCGTCTGCAGGCAGCTGCGTGTATGAGATTCCTAGAAAGGGACAGGGCACTGAAGCAAAACTCTGGAATGTGCCAGCGAAAGCAAAAAGCCTCGTCTGCAATCAGCAAATAAAGCACGGCACGGGCGTTCTGCGAAGCAGGGAGACAAAAACAGCCCTCTCGACCGCTAAGTTATTTAACACACAAGTGAAGGAGGTGTATGTGTGGGAACTTCCCCTGCTAACATCTCCCCACAAACAAATCACGTGTGTTTGTATATGCGTACGTGTAACAGCGAGACAGACCACTGAATTACTGGTACACGGGCATGCAAGTCAGGCAGATAGCAATGGTGTGTGCTACCCATATAAACCAGATAAACGTGAAAGGGGAAGGGACAGGCATGTGGTACCCATGTCTACCAGATCACAAAAACCAGGACGGGCAATACCTGCACGTTCATTTTACCAGCCCTGAGACACTCGTCCCCCTTTCCCCATGCCTGATGCACACCCCAGTTCGCGTTAAATTAAACAAACCAACCCCCCAGACACATAACCCTTGCCAACCTGGTCGCCTTCGTCGCCTTTTCTTGGAGCCAAAGAGTTTGACCCTGGAAAACACATTCAACTTGTTCTTGTCGCAGCTTCCCTTGCTCTTGCTGGGGCTGTTGACACACTTACAGGCATTGGACTTCTCCCGCTCCCTGGCTTGTCTCTTCTGGCGGATCAGGGAGCTGGCGATGGCTGCAGCCA